TCCCCCCCCCCCCCCCGAGCTGCAAGCCACGTTAAACACAAACACGAAGGCCCCAGCTGGAAGCCCTTCTCTTGCAACGCTTGGGCGAGTTGGCTGGCACGATCGCTGCGCAGGGTCAGAGCTTTGGAGACCTGATCGTCAAGCTGTGTTAAGCTGCTGAGAAGTGTGAACAAGAACTACAATTTGGAAGATCGAGGCTTCGGTTTGTTCGAGTGTTAGGATTCTGACTATGTGGACTGTTGAAGGGTCTGCTCTGGAGCGACACTGCAGGACGGCGACAGTTTCATGGCAACTACTCGGGGATGTAAGCGGGCCTTGTCTCCAGGGCCTCACAGCTGGCGAAACTGCCGCGTGCGCCAGGAAGAAACCGAAGACCTTCAGTTCCTAGAAATCCGGCACCCGCGCCTTCTCCGAAAGCCCCCAGAATTCCCCAAAAGCCACACTGCCAGCAGTACATTAGTACATGGCCTCGTCGTTTTGCCGCCTGGTCCAGCCGACCACCTCCGTTCGTTCACAGGAGGGGAGAGACTTACTTGGAGATGCAGCCTTGCTTGAAGCAATACAAACCAACCTGGGGAAGATTATCTCGAGTGTTGGGCCATGGCTGGAGTTCTAGCTCGTCCGCAAACACCATCTCCAGGTATTTTGACATCTTCGCAACCGAACCGAAGGATTCGAGGGAACTTAAGTTGGAAGAACTTTCTGGTTGTCTCAATAAGACGAAGGCAGTGCAAAACAGCAGGCCTCCCCAGCAATCGTCTCACCTTCGAGGGAGACTCCAAGCCTGGCAGAGGTGTGTCCGTACGCCTGCGCAAAGCTAGCTCTGTGTCATACGACATGTCGTCACAAGTCGACGTCCATGTACAAGCATACATGTCTACACACATGCGCTCATACACACGCACACACATGTGTGTATGTAGACCGTATATGTGTGTGTGTGTATATATATATATGAGTGACATACACACACACACACACCTACACTATATAGATATACACATTGACATACATGAAGCAGCTACGTGTGGATGTATATACTTACTATATATGCAGGCATACGTAGTCAACTTGTATGACAGCGCAGCCACGAGCCACCGAGAGGAATTCCGGGTGGTGGCCCGGGTTGTGTCTACAGATTGCCACTAGCTGAGAGCAAGTTTCCAAAGCATGAGCTTGGTTTGGCCTGTAAGCTGCTGCTCTCAAATTTCACTAGCAAAGCACGAGAACCCCGGATCTCAAGCAGTCATACTCTAACTCCCGCTCCATGACTTGAAAGACATGTGAAACTCACCTACCAGCCCCGACTTGTCTACTCCAACTCGCAAATGCCATCGGCCATACTTCATGGGAGGAGTGAGACAAGATCTGGGCATCGGAAGACAACCTGCAACATCCTTGAGTGGCCCGCAAGCAACGCCGAGGCCTTGATAAGAAGCTTTCTTGAAGATGGAGCACATATTGATTTATGGCCTGCTCTCTTGCAGCTGTGACTCCAGCTTCGCTCCCTCGCTTCCCCTTCGTCTTCCGTACAGTTGAGAAGCAGTGGCAGCACAGGTTGAGTTTGTCGTGAAACTTTGGCTTGAGCCCCGTCCCTCCCTCCCTCCCTCCCTCCCTTGAGCTCTCGTTCTCTTGCCGCATCTCTCATAGTTTTGCACATCAGTGATAACCCACTGCCACTATCGGGACCCTGCTGTTGTGCCCATGACTGGCCTTCACGCCCATTCCAGATTTGTGGAGATACCTGCGCAGGTCTTCTGAGTCTACTCTTCGTTGAGTTCGCTGGCTAGCTCTAGCTAGTAAGTTCCAGCTCGGACTTAGTGTCAACAGAAAGACAACTGTTGGGGCAAGGCTGAGAAACACACGGGGCGGCCTCACGGCAGAGAAGGCCGTTGCAGGCGATTTCGGCTGGAAAATTACTGCTAGCATGTATACATGACGAAACGCAAATTTCTCCCTACAAAGGTCGCTCGATGCCGCAAGTAGAGCAAGTCTCGTCTTGTGTACCCATACGGATGAATACGTGGTTGCCCAGATCCACCCACCCCTTTCGTGCACCGGCTGCCCTGCATGGATTTGTATTCAAAACCTGCATGTCCTTTCGGGCCGTTGAGAATCCTGGTTCCGTGTTGCCTGGGAGCCTCATCGGACAATCTTTCCGGCCTCTGCTGCTTCACGAAGAGCTCGGTGTGGACGGCATTCGCTACCGTCCCACCCTCCATAGCACCAAAGGCATCGGCGAGCTCCGGGTCCTCAGATGCGGAGCCCTCAAGTCTGAGGCTGGCCGCCGACCACCCCCTGAAAAACGCGCCATGGCAGCCGGCAGTCCTCCATCGGTGTCTGTATGGCCGAAAGGTCAGCGCCTTGTTCTGTCTGGCCAGATAAGGCCAAGCCCAAACGCTTCTAGTTCCCCTAAACATGGCCTTGGTTGAGAACCCTGAAGCCGCAACCCGAAACAAGCTCGAGGTCTCTCAAGCCCCTCTCCAAGCTAAGTCCTGGACACCATCCCGGCGACAGCCATGGCCTGTCATGCGACTTGTTTTGGCCGTGGATCCGCTTGGCAGGGTATTGTCGCTCGTAACTTGGGAAGGGGTGTCGTCCACGGGGTCCAGAGGATGGACAAACAGAGAGGCCACCCGCAGAAGCATGCGTTGTGTCCCGTTGAATGCCTGCTTACTCCCCTAAGAACTCTCCGTAATGCTGAACTGTTTGCAAGGCCCTCAAAGGAACGAAGCGGTCGAGGCAAGATGGCCTGAGGGAGGATGCCGGGTCGAAGGCACAGAAGCCCAGGCCCTCCAGCGAGCGGCCGTGCTTCAGGCAGGAGCCTCAGCAATCGCACAGTTCGGGTGCGCGGAGAGCAGTCGGGCGAGGCATTTCAATTTTCCCACAAAACAACACTCCCTGCACTGCACCAGAGGGAATCGTGACTACAATGTGTCCGGGGGACAGAGTTTTGAAGGCCGTCCTTGGTCATGCGGCTTAGTGATTGTTGGGGCTCGTTCGACCTCTCGCATGAGCGCTGGTTTTTGCTGGGCCTATTAGCAGGCACTAGCTCAAATTTCGAAAGCAAAGGCCGACGCACCCCGGCCAAGTGACCCATCAGGAACACGTCACCGAGCTGACCGCACAGGATCGATGCAAAATCGTAGTCGATGTTGCCTGACTTGCTTTGGTCTTCGAGGCTTGCATGTTGGTGGCGCTTGTAGATCGTGCAATGCTTGCAGTGCCACTCAATGCCGAGCCGAGCCAAGGCACAAAACGCCTGGCAAATGTCCACGATGACGGCCGCACCCACAGCACGGGCAGCCATAATGATGGCCTTGAGCTCGCTGGAGGTCATCGCCTCAGATGCTTGGCTCTTTTTCATGCCTTGCCATTTGGTGCTTTGGTGGCGAAATGGGCTCTTGGATTGCCGGTCTGGTGCCTAAGGCTTCTGGAGTGTCGCTCGGAGCTAGGTTTTTCCTTTAGCATTTTGGCATGCTGAGAAAGACCTGCAAGCATCTGCAAGCAAGAATGGCCCTGCCTCCCACCTTCACGGCCTCATAGCCCGTCGTGCATTCAATGATGTTGTACAACATCCAATTGGTCAGAGCTATGGATCACGGTCAAGCTTCCTCTCACTCATGCAAATCCTGCAGCGTTTATTCGAGAGTTCCTGGCGTGCATCTGCGAGGTTTCTTCCATGGACTTGGCACTGGTCGGTAGAAGTGTCCTTTTCTCCAGGCAATGCCTCTCGCTCCACTGAAACATGATCTCCTGCTGTGCCCGCCATGCAAGCGCTCAGCCTTTGGACTAGTTTCGGTGCAGGGCTTGGGAAAACGACTTCAAGGCTCTGCCAAGCGGCGATTTGCCCCACCGAGGACACCGCTGTGACATGGACCAGCCGCACGTTTCGTGCTCTGTGCTCGATGGCCTGGTTCTTCAATGGGCGTGGGCGGGCGGCTGGGCACTGGTACAGGTAGACTTCTGACCTCCGGCCTGTGATGTGTGTTAGAGTTTCTGGTGCCATAGCTACAGCATCTGGGGATGAGATGAGAACTTTGCTGGGATTAAACTCCTTAAATCAGGTGTCCATGCTCGCCGGGCCACCTCCAGGAACGGCGCCGCCTGGTCGCCACCAGACTGCTCCACCTGTCGGCTGACAATGGCAGAACAAGCTGGGACGATATTGCGCGTGCCTGTCATTGCCGGTTGTTGTCTCTTATTGCAGGCCCGGAATTGTCAAATTCTGCCAGCTCGGGGGCTCGTCTTGCTTTGACGGCTGCAGGCCTCCTGTTTCTGTTGGCGGTGGAGTAAACGTTGGCCCACAAGCTATGTACTCTTGAGGATCATGCCCTAGTCCTAGCGATCAAGCTTCCACACCTCTGTAGCAGCTACGGGTCTGACAGTCCCACTTCAAACCTCGGCGGTTGAAGGAGGCTCGCACCTCCACGCGCTTCCAGTTTGCATGGGCCAAGATCCTTTCGACTAGCTTTGGGCTGCTGGAAAGAAGAGATGGTACACATTATGGCACCACAGGTGGGCTCCCAAGTTTCTGTTTGGAGAGACTTCAGCTTCCTGCACACACGGCCAAGCTCATTGTCGAAGACTTTGTCAGGCGGAGGACATGATTCCGAATTCGGGATTCTTGGGCGCAAGAAGCCGCGAGCATGACAAACAACTCAAGCCTTATGAGTTTTATGTGTGACCCGAACCGCAAAGCACCGGCCGAGCACTTCCGAGCATCCTCCACAGGGAGCGGATGGAGAGGAAATCGGCTGATCCAGATCTGCACAAGGAGGCAAACCGGGGAGGGGGTTCTGTCACAGCAGGCGTTCTGTCTTTGCATTGCACAATGCGCTACGTGCAGCGTGGGAAAGGACTTCGATGTTCAAGAAATGTAAATACGTCGGGAACTTTACGAGCTTGTGCGCGCACAGCACAATTGTGTAGGGGTCCGGTTCTGTACGCTGCGCACGCCTTCGTCAGGATAAGAATCATAAGCACAACTTCAGGAGCGACATACGTAACGGCCGCAGCCTTTTGAGACGGTCTTGACCCCTGTGCATGCCACGAACATGGACCCAGTATCTTCAGCAGGCCCTTTCCGCAAAGCCGCAGCAGAACAACAAAGTGCCAGCACTGACGAGGGTCCAACCGCAAAGCTGTAAACAACAATGTCAGCGAATCGCGAGGTGGCTCCGCTAATAATATTTTATGTGGGGCCTGTAGGGCCGGCACCTACAGCAACCCCTGGTTCCAACCACTTCGCATCTGGAGGATTGTACTCAGATTCTTTTCAGCAAAACATTCCCATGCTGAGTGCGGCACATGACCACACAATCGCCTGAATCACTCAAATGCCTGAGCCACTGCACATTATTCAAACAAGTTCTTCGTCCGCAAGGTTCGTGCTGAAAGTGTTTTGCTCCGTGGCTGTTGCCATATCTTCCGGACCTAGCAAGCAAAAGCTGATGAACTCGCTACAGCCGCAGGTGAGTTGTTGCATTAGGACTACAACTGCCAGCATCTCGTGACTGGTTGGGGGCCTTCGCAAACTGGATGCTATCTACTGCTTTTCTCTGATACGTATATGGGTAGTTCTCTAAAGTAGCGTACCTTTTGGGCTCCTTTTTCTAAAGTGCCGTGCTGTACCACATTGGCGACCTAAACGGGGATCCTAATTTGGAGAACTGCCCATATGGTGACTTATTTTCTCGCGTCACCTGCCAAGCGGCTTCTCACGCTGTGCCAGTGCCAGCAGTACCCTGCAGAGTGACTCGCTGAGGTTAGCACCTGGTCCATTGGGAAAGAGGCGAGAGCATCAACAACGCCCCAAAGTTTGGACAAACTTAGCCAAAGGGGCTCGTTCCGATTGCTGCACGAGAGTCGAGATGCAACAGATCCTTAGCTGCCATGAATGCCACTTCCCAGCACAGCCCGTGTAAGACTTGGCGGCCATCATCGTGTATGTCTGGGCTGATGCAGCTTGCCATATGTTGACGCGCTGCTGGCTGATTGAGGCCAGCTGAGATCGACTGAGAAGTGCAGCTTTCTCTCAGGGGCCGGCCCTGACAGCATCGCGAAACTCAGGCAGTACCTCCATTCGAACTAAGTTCGAGTTCATCATCTTTTGCTTCTTTTTCTCTACTTCCAAAGCAGTGTATTCTCCCCTTACCGTGGCATCAGGCTGCTGCGTGCACTTCGCACTAGGCCACTCGGCAGCTGCTATCTCAAAACCTGCACTGGGAGCGATGCCCGCAAACTGTGAGCGGAGCCACCGCTGCATTATGAAAGGCATACGCATGTCCCATATCTGCAGTCCGAACGGATAGGGACTGCCCCAGAAAACGTCTAGAAGGCCACAGGGGCGACTCAAAGACCCGGCTCTCCCACCTGGCTGTAGAAGTAGCCGAGGTCCAGCCGGGAGATGTGGTCGATGAAGAGCTGCTGAGAGTTCACAAGCTCGGCCTGCAAAGGCACTTGGACAGCCAACACTAGTACAATAGTAACTGTAATGATAATCATAATAAGGAAAATAATAATAATAAGGTTAGTCGTAATACTAATAAGAGTAAGGACTAGAGACCTCGTTCCGTCCAAGAACAAACACCTCATGCCTGAGCCTAACAAGGTCGAAGACATCGACATCGACTTCCCCTCGTGGCCTTTAAAGGAGGGGCCATGGAGAAGGAGCGGAAGTCCCGCGTCCAACAGTCGTCCTCAAAGAGCTTCTCCTTGTTCGTGGGAGCATGGTGGAGTTGTTCTGGATTTCATGTTGGGCACCGGACGTTTCTATCAAATCTAGAGTATCGACAGTCGCGGATAGACGACACATCACACCCGCGTGCATTTTCCGTCTTGCATGCCGGATGCCGGCAGCGTTTTCGCTAACCGGAACGATCACTGCCTCACTGAATCTTCAGGTTTTTTTTCAGGATCGCTGCCGGGCTCGGTTTTCTTCAACTACTTGGTGGACCTTAAGGCGTTGAGGCTACTGCACGGCGATTCGGCGAGCTCCTCGATGCGAAGATTGGGAACTGCTGAGGTAAACTTAAACTCTGGCAGCCGGGCATCTGGACCGTCCTTGCTTGGAGTTGGCAAGGGGGGTGGCACAGCCTGAATAGGCTTCACCAAGAATTAGAGGCAAACGGTTCCGTCGTATTCATGCTAGAGGTTCCTGACAACTGTTGTTGAGGCAGGCTGGCCGAGCCCAAAGCAACTTCGACCACAAATTTCCACAGAAGCAAACTTCAACAAATGGAGTAGCGGCGTCGTGGTCATCATCACTACCGTGGGATGCTTACATCGTCAAAAGGGTACCTGAAGGGGACAGGAAGGGACCACAGCACGAATCATCCATACGACGAGTGTCAGAATCCTGGCTGAACTCACGGGCCTCGCAGCCCAGGCTGTCGAAGATGGCCTCACCAACCTTTGCCAATGAGAGGGCAGAGGAGCCGGGTTGGTTAGGAGCATGGCTTGGGAAGCATCAGGCTTGCGATGCATGGCTGAGGGTTTGCTTGAGCCGCGAGGCCTCTCGACCTCCTTACCTATCCATTCCGCATACATTGGTCTCTCCCAACACAGAAATCACAAGTCTGGGCCTCCTTGGCAGCGCCGGCCAACCAAACCCACTTGCTCTGCTTGGGACATCCAGCGGCGAACCTCCCGATTCATCCCAACCGGGGGGCGGTGTGGTGCGCCGAAAACAGAGGGCACAACAAGATATGCAAGAAGACAGCAACTACCCAGAGATAGAGCCAAATGAACATTTGCCTTGGAATCCACTGGCTGAAGCGGGAATTGAGGACGCTCTCCAAGTGGACGAACATCTGCCTGCCAAAGCAGAATAGTCTTTTTCGTTAGGTTGACATATTCTAGAGCAATTGCATGCCACTCGAAATTAAATAGTCGGCGACATCAACCTCCGAGGTTTCCCATTCTCAAAGACGGTGCAACCCTGCGCACTTGGTGCCCTCGAAAGCCTTGTCTTCACCTAGTATAGCTAGCAAGACTCAGGAAGACCGTTGCCAGCTTCAAGCGTGGCTTTTTGAGCTGCATTTACATTGCGGGATCTACCTCTTTGGAGCGGAAGTATCGACATGTAATGTGGCCGTGGAAAGCGTGGAAACTGGGGGTGTGTCGGTTTAGGTGCCCAAGTGTCGAGGATGGCTAGGGGCGGGCCAATGGAGGATGCCTAGCTGTTAGCCGGGGAGCGCCTGATGGAAAGGCCAGCTGTACCTGTGGTGTCGATCCCATTGGACGTCACGGCCTCAGCTTGGAGCCTCTACCAGTCGTCCCACGAAGATCTTTCACATGCTTGGACGAAATGAATCATCAGGCCCTGAGTCGGCTGAGCTTCCCACCAGGCCAAGGTGCGCGGACCAAAAGAGCCCTATGCCGTACCTTTGCCGAAGCGACGGCTCAGACCAAGAGGTATCTGAAACGGGTACCTTCTGAAACGAAGAAGTGAGCTGTGCTCAGCCTTAGCCCCCCCCTCCCCAAAGGGGAAATGCAGCCTGGGAGCTGGAAGGAATGCACCTTGAATGTCCACATTTCAATTAAGGGGATTCGAAGCTCGGAAGAGGGATGAATTCTTCGGAAGGAAGGCTCAAGGGGCCTAAACCCTAAACCCCCTAAACCCTAAACCCCCTAAACCCTAAACCCTAGGCCGCCAAGGCACGGCGTTCAGCAAGTCTCGGCCCTCAGAGCCGCGCGCGCGAAAGGCGTCGTCGCCGGTGACCTGAAGACTTCGGCAAAGCCTCGTCAGCTGTCCTGGGCTCCAACAAGGGGCGGAGGATGCACTTCGCTCTAAGAATGTTCGGCTCTTGTTTGGGAAGAGCTTGTCGGAGACTCCAAACCCACGCGAGCAATTGCGAAGTTTCAGCTCAGTATAGCCCGAGACCAATGACCAAGGGCAACCCGGGCCCGGAGCTGCTGCAAAACTTTCCATACATTTCCAGACATATCGTCATGCAACCATCAAGTCGAGCGTCCTCCTAAAAAAAAGCCAATCTCCTTCAATTATGATAATTTCGAAAGCCGGAACCCAAGATTCCCCGCTCAAATTCACCGCCTGCCTTGGGATCTCAGGGCCTCGCGGGTCTGTGCCGGCAAGTCGCGCAGGGCAATGCTATCGCCACCGCTCGTGCCCTTCAAGGCCGGACGATACTCCTGGAATGAACGGGGATCAAATGGCACGGGAGTTAAAGACGTCAGCGGCATAGTGCTGCAGTCTTGAGTTTGTGAAGCCCACAAACGGTCCGAAAGAGCGTTGGGATCTGAAGGGTGAATGCAGCGATTGCTGCTCCTTCTCTCATTCGACGGTCGCGGAAAGCGTGTCAGATTTGCCGACATGTTTGCTACGAATCCCGGTGTTGGAAGCAAGGCCTCAGCTGGTCATGTGCCTCCAGCCACAGATGACTCTGCCAAAAGTCTCCTGGTATGCGCAAACATCGAGCTGTGCCAGGATGTTCCTTAGTGTAGATGCTCTCACTGTGCACCAGATGTTGAACCAATGTTGTCTAAACTCATGTGCTGCTCATCACACTAGCCAAGCGTGGCCCGTCTTGCTGGGGTTCACTTGAGGTGCGCGGATGCCTCGAGTCACTACAATGCAGGGTGACCTCGTCTAAAGGGCAAGTCCGCAACGTCTGGAAAGATACGTTTCCAACATCCCAAGGCGGAGCTGAAAGCTTCTGGCCAAGAGGCAGGACCTGTGCCATAGCCTTTCAGCTTTCAGCTTCTTCCGGGTTTCGGGATCGGGAGGAGAATGTGGGTAGTGCTATCGTATCATAGACTCCGCAAGGCTCAGCAGCGGGCCGACAGCCAAATCTTCTCAACATCCGTCCCAAGTCCGAAGAGCCCTGGAGGCCTGGAGCAGCTGGGCTCCCTCCATCAAGGCGGCAGCCGGCTTCTCCTCTTCAGCCGCGCTGGCTGCCCGGTCCTCGGCTCTGGAGGCTCGTATTCCCGCCTGACACAGAATTTTTGCAGGGCACCAAGGCAAAACGACAGGCGATCTCCACCAGCTGGTGGCAGCCACGGAAAAGTGGCTGGATAGTGGCAATACCTGAGCAGTCTCGAACTCTGCTCGATGAAAACCGGATTTCGTCGTGGAGAAAGCAGATGAACAACTTTAATAAACGAACGGCTGTGGGACAACACTTCCTCTCCCTTCGGCCATGGTGCGGGGGTCCTGGTTGCTTTCCACATTGATTTCTTCTGCCTGCGCCATGGGGTAAGAGGGTACGCGAGGAAAGTACCCTGCAAACTGGCTCGGTGATTAGGGCTGGGGTCTGAAGTGCACCTTCAGCCCTGGCTGGATATGACTAGCCCTTGGTTCCCGCGGCCTCCGCAGGCAGCCGTCGTGTTCGCAATGGCAGTGATGCCATCCAGAACCAGCTAGACCAGAAGAACGGCCTGTCTTGAGCTTACAAATCAAGGTTAGAATTTAGAATAGCATGCCCCTAATTCGCAGTGGTGAGAGCTTGGGACTCGAAGAACCATAGCTGCATTTTCGTGACGGGAATAGCGTCAGACACTGCAAGCCAAACAGCAATGCCACTACCGCAATCCTCTGCTCAAACAGCCTCGAAAGCACTCAATCATCGCAGCGCCATGCATGTCCAGATGTTGAAATAGGTGCAAGCCACAGACCTCTTCAAGTAAGCCTAACCGAAACACTCGTTGATGAAGAACATACCTGGGCACCTGGGGTTACCCAGGTCAGCCCGCCCCCTGCAAACCTCGATAAGCTGGGGGAGACAGATGTGACAGATTTTTGGATGCTGACATCTCGACAGCTCTAGCTCCAGAAACCTGGCACCACCTAGCTGACAGGCCTCCAAGCAGGAGGGGCCCGCAGGGCTTTCCTGCAGGCTTGTGCAGTTTCGGAGTGCATGTCCTGTGCGTCAACCAGCTGTTAAACGCCTTCGCTACAAGTCCTCTTCCGACACTTCCAGAACATCAGCAGGATACAGCTTGCTAAAAAGGTTGGATCTACTAGGTTACCTAGGGTCGAAGATCAGGGTCGCTGGCAACTTTAATCCACATAGGATTTGCAATCACTGGAGCTTGGGCCCGGGATTGGATCTGATGTTGGATCTTGCGGACGCGGGCAGATTTCCTCCCCGAAGAGAGTGCAGTCCAAGCAGCACTAGGACACTTGGCAACGTGCAGAGGAGCTTCCAGCAACGGACGATCCTCACGTTCACGTGGTGGTCGCGGGTCGCTAAGCTGGGAGGATGAAGCAACTCCGGAGTTTGAGGCGAAGGGAGCTCATAATTAGGGCCTTGACTTCGGAATTAACTTCGCCTGCCTTGGGTACACGGAAGCGCCGAGAGGACACATCGTGCGAAGATGGACCATGTGATGTGTGGAGACAAGTCCACTTGTGCCCCCACTCGAGTAGACCCATCCGTTCTGAGCTATCCAAATGCCAGTATACCTCATCCCGCTCTCACCCTGGCGGATCTTCGAAAGCGTATTCGGGGATCGATTTCAGCTGAACCTGAGGTGCCGGCAGGGTTGCCTTGATGTTAGGGTAGATCTGCCTGAGATCACCAAGGTCATTGTCAAGAGCATCACCATTCTAAGCTGAATCATTTTTTGCAGAATGATATTTGAGTGGCCTGCGCACCACCACTGTTACTGGGGTGCTGTCACATGTCCGTGCTGCCAGCTTCATTCGTGCTGTGTTGCCACCTCGGAACCACATCCAGGCTAGCCCTCAGGTTTCGGTTAAAAGGTGCTACCGGATCTGCTGCCACGACCCTGCCACACAATGAGAAGAATAAGCTGCCACACAGCTGCTGCAAGCATCGGAAGAAGTTGGCTTGCGTGAGACAGATCTCCTGTCCAACGTCGCTCTTTTCCAAGCAAATCTAAGGAGCTTGCGCAACCTGTCGCCTTGGCTAACATCGCTCCTTCGCAGCTGAGGGCCTGTTTTGGGGGAGATATGAACAACTATGGACGATGCAAGCACAGCTGACTGAACTTGTGATGATCTGCTTTCGTAGAAGTCCCAAGCTTGCCTGTTGTGAGAATGACAGGACGCCGAGTCACAAGCTGCGCTGGCATGAGGTGCTACTGTGAGATTTCGCGCCCTTCGTTGAGAGAAGCCGGACTACAAGCGCAGAGGGAAGCCCCACTGAAGGGGCCTGAGTGGAAGGACTTCTGCCTCAAGATTTTGCTGCAGAAAGCAATTTTCATGTAGTCTTATATATAATATATTATATAATATTATATATTATTTTTGTTATACTATATTATACTATTTTAGAAGAGTATGACTTCTAAACCCCTACCCCAGCCCCCAACCTCCACCGCCTCAGAAGTCCAGGCGAGCCTGCACGGTGAAGCGCTCGGAGCTTGTGACGCTGGCGCACTTCACCATGGGTTCCTTAGCTGTCGGCATCTAGGAGATCCAGGATCTACCTCGATTATCCTCCACAAAACTCTTGTGACACGCAATGTTGGGTTCGTATCGTCGGCCAAGCCACCAGAACATGTTGCGGCAGCTGCAGGGAACAGAGGGCCCGGCCCTTGGCGTAGGAGAAACTTGAACCCAAGGCTTCTGGAAAAGCCTGCTAGAGTCTGCTAGAGCTGCTAGAAGTAGACCTCGAGTTGTTGTCCTACCTTGTACCGCAGGTTTTGAAGCATCGGCCGAAGGCAGCTGGTCTTGTCTTGACCTCAAGAGTTGTTGAAGGCTAGACGGGCGCCATTTTTACAGTACCGTGTGCCTTGCGCACAGCCCAGTATTCGATGGTTGTATCTTCTGCATCCCGAGCCCCGAAGACATTTGAGCACTGCATTCACGATGAACAAGTGTGCAGAAGCCACTGCTCGGCACGTGAGCTTCCTGCATGGCTTCATTCTGATCTGTGGCGCGGGCCCCGATGTCGGGTGCCATTGTGACTCTCTTGGCCTGAGTCCAGCCGAGGCTGACCGCTTGTCACCGCAGGGAAAACGCACCAGCCTACACACCAGACTACAAATGCCGTCAGCACGCAACCTAGCACACTATGTTTGGCGCGGTAGCAGCAGCCCAGGCTGATTGCAGCTCTGCTGCCAAGGAATTTCGAACCCATGCCTGCGCAAAGGGATAAGATCACGGCAGAAGGCGAAACCAACGAACACAAGCTGTTCGGGGCTGTGCGCTTCTATGAACCAGTACGGCAGAACCGGCTCTGAAGCGGCCTCGTAGAGATTGGCACCTGGCTCGCCTCCCTGCGCGGCCGGGCAACGGCTGAAGTCTTTGGCTTGCCCTGTCAAACGGGATGAATCTTGCGAGTCTTCTTCTTCTTCTTCGTATTCCTACTCCTACCCATCTTCCTAGCAGGATGGGCACCAGCTGCAGCCACAGTGCCAGCACATCAGCAGCACCACCGATGACAATTGCCACCAGCACTAGTTCTCCCCCCACTTCCACCGCCAATGCCAGTAGCCAATCGCAACTGCAGACGGAGGGATAGCAAAAACTTCGAGAAGCAGTGGTCTCGTGAACACAAGTGCAGGGCGAGAGCGAAGAAGGCCAAACGACGTTCTGGCACAAGGCCGAACAGAACAATAATTTGATGACGACATCTTTCACTCTCAACTGCCTTCTGCAGCACCCGAGCAACATGCCAGAGCTTTGAACATGCAGATCTCCGGAACAAAAATCAAAATAAAGCTTACGATGGTCCTGAACATGGGATCTCAACCATGTCTGTATCTTCAGCCTGATAAACCATGCTACATCAGACATGAATCACAACTGTTGGACTCCCAGCATGAACGCTATCATCCATTGCCCGGTGCTCTCTGTAGCATCGACGCTGAAAAGTTCGGGTTCAGGACCCACCCTGCCCTTCGACAGAACCGTGCACGCCTGTGGCACGTCCCTTGTTCCAACTTCCTTGGCAATTCTGGGCCAAGCCCAAGGAACCGAAAATAGGCTCGGCTTCACGCGAGATTGAACTTTTTTGAACGGCGTAGCTGTCAAGTCTTGGGAAGTTCGGGCCATGTGCCGGTGGGGAAAGGCTGGTGGCTCAATTCTTGATGCCTGGAATCCTGGCACTCTCGATGCTTAAACCTTCCAACTGCACATCTAGTACCCCTCCAGACGGTTGTCGAGCATCTCAACCCTTTTGCCTCTGTAGCCTGTTTAAGTGCAGCCTTGCGACCGGGACAGCTTCGCAATGTCGCGGCCATTGCTTTTTCAAGCCAGAGTTCGCGAGGAGAGCGCTGGGAGCCGAAACGCCTAAGACACAGAGAGAACCTGAGAACCTGAAAGCAGAGCATTTTCATGGCATTTTGTGCTTTGCCCCTCTTTGGGCCGCTCAGCTCCCTCGACAGGTTTCGGCAGTTAAACCGTCACAACATTATGACTCTGACATGTCACAACCGAACCCACAGTCGCGCCACTCCCAAGCGAAGTCATCATGGACACACAGGAGACCTATGGCGTGGCCGCAAGGGTCTGCGATCTCTGCTCGGTTTGATACAGCCCGCAAGACAGGTTCTTGAGGCCTTGAGGCCTTGCTCCCCTGACCTAAATGACCGAAAATCATTTGAATCAATTCATCGAGGAACCTTTGCAAAACCGGCCGCTGGCCTTCTGCCACTCCGCTGCTACAGCGCAGGCGCCTCGACTGCGCAGCTCTAGCTCTGATGGTGAAGGTGTCAGAGTCGGACTGGAATTGGGCTCTCTATCTGTATCTTATGATAGCTGCTCTGCAATGGGTGTCGCTGCGGACCTGCCATCCAGCTGGCAAAGAGGCGGATGTGCCATCCTCTATCCTGAAACCTCAAACCTTGAAACTTTCGATCCTCGGTTCTACACCTCTATGTCAACATTCTGATGCCGTTCTTCTGGCAACTAGAGCCCATGCTCGCTCAACTATTAAATTATGACAAGGGTGAGAGCATTGATGCAGGCACCTGTCGCTGAGCAGAACGATATCAAATCGGCCGTGGGCGCTCCTGATGCTGCATCTCGCTGGCACTTCTGATGCTGACGCTGCTAGCGGTGGTGTGCGAAGCTCTGCTCGCTGCTGTGATTGCTTTCTAGCCTTCCTCGCTTTCATGCTTTTGCCTTTGCGCTGGCCAGCAGTGCCGCCTGTTGCAGTCGGCATTTTCGGTGAGCCTCCCTGTTGCCTGGAGCCTCGACATGTGCCCCAAACGGTACACGACATCCTGCGTTGAGATTCTGTCTTCGGCCAGGCTTCTGGACAGCCGAGGAAAGAAGGAAACGTATGTTGCAGCTCCAGGCATCGACTGGAATCGCACAACCACCCACAACAAAAACCAACTGTCAAGCAATAATATGCAGAGATGAATTGAACGCTCGGCTCCTGAGTTCATCTCGAGCTCACCGAGCCTTGCAAGACGCACGCGCTTAAGCTTCGGGCCATGAGTAACACACGCTCATCTCGAGAGCCTGCATGCTACAGCTACTGAAGCTGAGTTTGATCATCCTGCCTCAGATTTCTCGCAAGCCGAGAGGTGCGAATGGAAGTTTGAGACTGACATTCTCGAGAGGCAGCTCTCAGCCTGGTCGACCATACTCGGACAAGAACGACAAGATGTGCTCAGCTGCCGGCAGTTGAAGCGCCTGTTCCCACTTGCCGCCACGCCTCAGGTGCTCTTGCGCCAAGGTTTCCAGTCGGATTCCATGACTTCACATTAAGATGCTCTTGCGTATGTGTTTCACAAGCCCTGACTTGCTAACCTATCGCATATCTGGAAGTTTCAATTCGGGGTTGCATGAATAAGCCCTGCAGGAGGTCTTGTAAGGCCTCATGAACTAATGACTGAGTACACGAGTCGCAACCGAGTCTGCATGCGCTGTGATTTAAACCATGGCTTCTCGCTTTTCGATCCAGCTACTTCTTACCTATATGGACAGACGTAAGCTCACTTTGAATGCTGAAATGGTCCGGCAACATCCTACTTGGCTTATGGCCACCCAATGCTCGCTTTCAGGCTCCAGCTCGCATGCATCGATCCTGTCAAGTCGCACAGCTTCTGGCAATTAGGGTGATGCTGTGGGGAAGGAAAGGCAATGGGCCGTTCGAACGTCTTCAAACTGCAAACCCTGACAGAAAGTAGCCGCAAAGCAGTTTCCCGAACTTCATCCCCGCGGCGTGAAATGCCACGAAACGAGCTATCTTGATTGTGCGAGAGAGGCAGAGTTGGAGAGCGGCAGGGAGGCAGCTGTTCATGCAAGAGGGCCATGGCACTGTCCTGATGCAAAAGCTCGAGATCGAAACCCTGAAAACCCACAACTCCGCTTCATTTGGGTCCCCAGCGCAGCATTCCACACTGCTACGGGGGCGGCTCCAGCAGTTGTCGCAACTGCAAGAGTTTCTAAGGCCTTAGGAGCCGTGTAGCGGATCCCCCGCCCTCGGCTCTCGGCTCTCTCCATTTCTTCGCTTAGGCAGCATGGAAGGGTTTAAGGCTTCTGCAAAAAGGTTCTGCAGGCACGGAGACAAGTTTTCTAAGGACACGCGGCAAACCGAGCGGGTCTTGTGTGAGCAGCACTCAATGCAGGCAGAAACAGTTTCCACGCCGTTGCCAGGAAATGCAACTCATTCTGGCTACTGGATGGTAAAAAGTGGGAAAAGCCTTACCATGATGGTGCTGATGATGATGACGATGATGATGATGATGACGACTATTATGATAATTTTAGTCTTTCTGCTGCTGCTCTTGATTGCTTTTTGTTGTTGGTGTTGGCTTCTTGTTGTTGTTGTTGTGGTTGTTGTTGCTGCTGCTTGTTTGTTTCCTTTGTTTTGTCTTGTTGTGTTTGTTGGGATCACTTGCTTTGCCTGCTTGTGCTTTGCTTGTTCCTGTTGCTGTTACTTCTGCCGCTGCTGTTGTTGCAGCTGTTGCCGTTGCCCTTGCTGTTGTTGCTGCTGCTGTTGCCGTTGCCCTTGCTGTTGTTGTTGCTGCTGTTGTTGCTGTGGCTGTTGTTGCCGTTGCCGTTGCCGCTGCTGCTGCTGCTGCTGATGCTGTTGCTGCTGTTGCTGCTGCTGATGTTGTTGTTGTTGTTGCTGCTGCTGTTGTTGTTAATGTTGATGTTGATGTTGAGGTTGATGATGCTCATGATGTTGTTGTCGTTGTTGTTGCTGCTGCTTGTTTGTTTCCTTTGTTTTGTCTTGTTGTGTTTGTTGGGATCACTTGCTTTGCCTGCTTGTGCTTTGCTTGTTGCTGTTGCTGTTCCTTCTGCCGCTGCTGTTGTTGCAGCTGTTGTCGTTGCCCTTGCTGTTGTTGCTGCTGCTGTTGTCGTTGCCCTTGCTGTTGTTGTTGCTGTGGCTGTTGTTGCCGTTGCCGCTGCTGCTGCTGCTGCTGTTGCTGCTGTTGCTGCTGCTGATGTTGTTGTTGTTGCTGCTGCTGTTGTTGTTAATGTTGATGTTGATGTTGAGGTTGATGATGCTCATGATGTTGTCGTTGTTGTTGCTGCTGCT